TTGGGAGTGGATATAAACTTTCATGCTAGTTGCATATTACTAACACTTTTGATTTTCTGCTGGCCAAGTGGATTTGAAACCAACCATTTTTACCTTTTTTAACTTGCATTCTGGTTAGGTGGTTTCCACTATATCAGTGCCTACTGCCTGTATTATCTTAAACCAGGGCCGTCCAATGGGAGGCTGGTGGGCCACATCCAACCCACTAGGGGATAACATGTAACCCCTGGGATCCTGCCCAGGCACCCTTGCTCCCATTTACTCCAGCTGCTCTGGCGGGAGTAGCTGGGGCTCTGGAGCAAGACAGCACAGCAGGAGGCCTGGTGAGCTTGCTGCCCATGCACCAGTGGCAGGGAGGCTCGTGTGGAAGACTCACACTGCTTGCATAGCAGTAATGGCACAGTGGAGTAGGAATCACTCGGAGTCACTGCAGTGCAGAGGCTCACAAAGCAGTGGTCGCAGGGGGCTCATACAGGTCACATGGAGATGAGGCACCCATGCAGTCTGCAGCTCAGGACCTGTATGGCAAGCAGCCTACAGCTGCTCAGAAAACAGACAGCCTATTTTGGACAGATCTTGTTCTTTGTTCCCCTTCATAGAAATTAGCTTGTATCCCAGAGATTTCTGAAATTACATTTGAAGCATTTAAAATGCCTCTGAAGTGCTTCAAAGGGTAAGGTGGACAGATCAATCCACAGGTAACCTTGAAGGAAACAACTATCTTGCCTTCACAGTCTGCTTTGCTCCCCGCATGGTGGGGAAGTGAAACCACAAGTCACTGCACCCCAGTGGCTGGAGAGCACACTGTTATATGCAGCCATAATGATTTTGAAGCGCTCCATCCAGGGAGCTGCACCTCTGTCCAGAGCTGCACTTTGAAGCATTTCAAATGTTACATATATTCCTACCCTCAGCCCTGCAAGTAATTACTACATTTCAGTGGAGAAATATAAGGCTCCCCATGGTACAAGCAAGCAATATTGACAACCTATTATAGGTAATGCAGTGCATGTGAAAACTTTAACAGGTTGCTTTCAGTGAACAATGTTAAATCAATTGAACCCTTTTGATTTCAGAACTACCACTCAATTAGCAGGGCATTTCCAGTTATTAAAAGGTTTTTTTAAATCAATTTCCTATCTAAGCTGTTGAATTCTGCAATCACATCAAGATTAAAACACCATCTGACAGGGCTAGCTTTTATCATAACAGCCTATACAATATATAGAAAACGTTAACTGATATTTCTAAATTGACAATATGCTGGTAGGTCTTGCCATTTAATAACTTAAAAAAAAACCCAACACAGAATCATAGTAATATAGAGCTAGAAGGAACTCTGAAAAGCCAACATGATAGGATCAAATATAAGCAAACCATTCCTAGTAGATATTTGCCTAACTTATTTGTAAAAACTATCAGTGGTGGAGATTCCACATCCTTCCTAGGTAATGTATTCCAGGGCTGGAGGAACAACATGAAGATCTGATCTACCTCTTTATAAGATGTCATTTCAAGTTGTGTTTCAGCAAAGCATATGTTTCAGTACATGTAGAACCAATTAATTTCAACATACTAAGCACTTCTTCCCAACTCTACATTCTGAAAAAAAATGTATAACTTTGTACATAACCTGTGTGAAAAAAATATTTAAAAGAATTATTTCATTAAACTGGTAAAATATGAAGTGAATCATTAGATAGCTTAAGTCTGGTATTAATTCTTACTTACTGGATTTTTTTTTAAGTAATAATCTGTGGTACAAAAAAATGGCTTTATCAATGCTGGTTGTTATGAACAGTACCCCATTCTCAAAAAAATGCATTTATGAATTCTTTGCAAAAGTATGAATTCTATGCCAAGAGAAAGAAACCTTGGTTAAACCAAACATGTGACCAGGTTAAGCCACCATATGACCATATATGGAGTATGGGCAGACATTTAGTTTGTAATATTGCTTACCTTCTTAGGCCAATTTTCACAAGTAAATTACTTAAATGACTAACATTAACAAAACAAGTTTTATAGATAACTATGGCATAAACTCATATAGAGATGGTTTCCTCAGTTAGGCTGGCTGGTATAATATGTGGTCTCTACTTGTAGCCAATGTTAAGCTGCACTTAGTTTTATCATTTTATATTTGCATGAACTTTTTATTATTTTATATGAATGCATGTTTCTTTTCAGACAATAATGTTCACACCTAAGAGGGCCAATGCCTAACTAGCTTTGGAAGAGTAGTCACCAAGAATTCACATCTATAACAATTATGTAAAGCAGCCCACCAAAAGGTTGGGTGTATATCTGACCTCAGGCTCATCCACAAATAAACAATGACAGTCTGTATCAGGTGTAACCAAGATATAGCCCATGAGAGCATTCTGTGGAGCCACACCATCCAGCCCACACAGCTCCCCATGGGTCCAGAAGTCTGGCAACAGGGTGACAGTGCCAATTAACGCTGCTGCCCCTTGTCCTACCACCACGTTTACAGATCCATGGCAAGCTCTGTGGACAGACCCCATGACACTCATCCAGCCTGCAGACTGGGCCCTGCACCACTCAGGCCTGCAGGGTTGGATGAGTCAGGCAGCACTAGTCTACATCTCAAAAGGGAAAGGTATTAGTGGAGGATAAGGGGGTAGTCTTCTATCCAAACAGTCTCTGATTTGAAATAAGAGGCACTCTGTCTGATGTGGAATTAGTAATCTTTATGGTTGCAAGGATTTAACTTTGTCCTAGTTATAATTTGATCAGGAAAGATACCTGACGTGGCAAATGGATACACATCTGGGGCAGGAAGTTATATACAGGCATACCTCATTTTATTGCACTTTGCTTTATTGCGCTTTGCAGATATTGTGTTTTTTACAAATTGAGGTAAGACCTCCACCAGCAAAAAGATTACGACTCGCTGAAGGCTCAGATGATGGTTAGCATTTTTTAGCAATAAAGTATTTTTTAATTAAGGTATGTACATTGTTTTTTTAGACATAATGCTATTGCACACTTAATAGACTACAGTATAGTGTAAACTTAACTTTTATATGCACTGGGAAACCAAAAAATTCGTGTGACGCGCTTTATTGCGATATTCGCTTCATTGCGGTGGTCTGGAACCGCACCCGCAATATCTCTGAGGTATACCTGTACATGATATATGCTTCAATGAAAGTAGTCAGATAGGCAGATAAGAATGAGTACTTAAGAAGCTGCTTTAGAAGTAAGTTTTGATCTAAGAATTTTTTGGACATGGAGATAATTTCATTAATGAAAAAGCTGACTAGGGTAAGTTAACAGGTTTGCTTGCAGAAAATCCTGACATGGACAGAGTGCTAGCAGCTGTAAAATCAAGTACTGTAAAATCAAGTATTGTGCTTGTAGTTTTGTAATTCATCTTCTCTGTATTTTAATATATGGTTACTGAATTTTAAAGTGTATCCTGTTTATGTAATAAATCTTGTTGCTATTTCTTATACATAACTGATTGTCTGTGGGAAGTGTGATTTCAAAGCAGCTGGCAAACGGGCCAGTCACTCCTGTGGGAGCCAGGACCTATAATTTCTTACACAAGCCAAACATAGGTATGATTTTTCAAGTTGGCAAAAACTACTGTATTAGAGCTGTCAAGACATGGGTGAGAGAGGTGAAGTTGAGACACCATAGTAAAGAGCTGGCCCCCATGGCACATCTCAGCTTGTTTTCAGTAGTCAAGCAGCAAACTGCAAGGAGGTTTGGGGCTGAAAGACACCCCTAAAAGGTGTGAGTGCACCCTGCTTGCATCACTACGACACACTGTAGCAACACAATGGTAAAATGAAACCAGAAGTCTGAGTACATAGATGGCAACAAGGTATCATAGAATCACCTCCCCTTCACACTCTAGTAAAGGAATTCCACAGAATTCTCCCTAGTCTTTATATTTTCTTCCATTAGGATATCGCTGCCCAAACTCAAGCAACCACTAGATACTTTCTTATTTCTCTTCTTGCTTACCTCTACCTTCCCCACCCTGTAATCCCTCTCTTCATTTCTTGCCACTGTAACTTGAAGCAAGGAAGCATACACAGCTGAAATATACTGGAGATTGGAATACATAGATAGAATCTTTCCTAGTTCATTTTCAACGCACTCAGATTATTTAGTAACGCATTTCTCCATGTTCCTGCTCTTCCAGAGTATTATTTCAGAAAAAAACAGCAGGAGAGAAATCCACAAGCAATGAGGGATTTCTTTTTCATCATGCCTAATATATAGCCAGGTTTTAATGTCTTATTTAGGTAAAATTCCTGCTCTACTGACTCCAGTAAGATGCTGGAAGATAAAGACTAATTTCCATTTGTTGCACTAGGATTACAATGAGAGAATTTGTATGCAACAAGTATAAGCAGTTACTTAAGTCTCTCTCCTAGAGAATAAACAATAGGGGTTTTTTTCTAGAAAAGCCGAAAGAAAAAAGAACCATAGCAAAAGAAAACATTGTTGGAAACTATGAATAAACTTTTCAATCTACCAACTCAGGTTCCTGCTGTTACACTTGACTTTGGGGACAACAAAATTCCTGGGGATGAGACACAGAGCCTTGCACCCAGGATTGGCTTGATTTGCTTTCTTTTGGTTGCATTTTTTTTTAAGGATTCTGTCAATGACTGAAAACAAAATCAACTTCAAGTGACCAAAGATTCTTCAATACAGAATATTGTTTTACTTTGTTTCTGTAGTTCAAAGCAAGGAACTGAATCTATTGAATCCCTACCAAAGTGATTTTAAAAATCTTTATTAAAAAAAAAAACCAATTATGATTATTTACCAAATAACTGAATGAAAATATGCATATTTACAGACTGAAATAAAGTGTTCTGTGCCAAACATATCCAGTTGTAAAATACATAAAACCCAGATGTGGAAGGGGCAAGACACTCCAGTTTGCTTGTTAAACATTTTGTTGCTATTCTAACAGGATAATCAAAATAAATAAAACAATAATCTAACCTCAGCCTTTCTTCTTCTTTCTTCCGAAGGCTGAAATCTCTTTGGACCACCTGAAGTACATGTTCTGCTTCCTCCTCAGTCAAGCCAGAAAGATCTAGTTTTCTCCCCATTGTTTCCTCTATCCTGGATATGAACAATTAAAAGATACCTGAAAGCACAAAAGGCAACAAAATACAGAGTGAACAGCCTGAAAACACTGCATGACTTCAAAGACCTCACAGAATCAAACACACACCTAAAACACACAAATGTGTTTTTAACATCAGAGAGGAGTACCTCTCTGTATTTAGCTTATTGTAACATCTTTATGCCACTAAAAGAAATTTCTATAGTCTTCAATCAACGTTGACTTCAAAAAGTAATAAAATAAGTGATTTTCAAAACCCAGCAAATTTATTCGTACCATTTGACAAAACTACATATAAGTGTACTACACTGACCAAATGGAAATGAAATTTAGAAATGATAGAAGATTATATGCCACAACAGAAAATCAGACTTATTGCTTGCAGTCTTTGGAAGCCAACAAAATACAATTGTATTTCCCTGAAAACACAGGGGTTTAAATGGCATGGTGGCCTCCAGAAGGCGTGGGTATCATGGCTCTGGAATTGCTCGCCCTCCTTGACTAAACATCTACAATTACCAGTTTGGTTTTAGTCTTTCTAGGAACAGGTACAAAGCTTTTAAATCTGCCCATAGCAAAAAAATTGTCTGTACCAACTCTGAATTTAAAATGTCTTACAAAGAGAGAAGACAACTCACTCCCACACAACAAATAACAACAAAGTGCATTACTAAATTAACTTTATTAGTGTTGTTTAAGACTGGAAAATTGAACAAGAAAAATCAGTGCATTTCTGAAGAAAGAGAAACTGAAATAAAGAGTAACTTTAGCGGATAACACTAAACAAAATAATGAACCCCTCCTGGGAATCTGCATTACAATTTAAAATAAAATAGTGGGAAGACTTGTAAAATCATAAGTAAATATCCCAATACAAATGGGGTTGCACAAAGAACAGAGAAGGGAAACACAAAATATCTGAAGTATGAATGCTAGAACTTCTCCAAAAGTGGATATAAATATTATAATTAAAACTGAAACAGGAATACAAACAACAGATTCAAATTAGAACAGTGAAAACAACAGATTTACTGGAAAACAATGTGCAGTAATTGTAAATCTAAAACTTCTGAAATCAACAAAGGATTTTGCCTATGTCTTATTCCAAAACTCCAAATATGGAAACGTGGGACTGGAAGGGGCCTCATGGCCCATCAAGTCCAGACTCCTGTTCTAGCAGGCAGTCATTGACTGAAGGAAGCCCCTGAATTCCCACCTCAAACCCTCGCTGACACCCCAAAGGAACAAAATCCCAAACACTAACACCACCCTATACAATATCAAAGGTAAAAGCAGAGGCAAAAAGGACACTGCCAATGCCCTGACACTGCAACAACAGGGAACTAGCTGGTTAATATCTGCCCAGACAATCCCAGGGAAAGAAATATGCCCCATGCTATAAGGAAAAGCAAAAAAATCTCATGGGTCCATGCTAATCAGTGTAACTGAGCAAATTAGCAAGACCCCTCTAGCCAAGAACAGAATTGCATTTATCCAGGACAGGGGTTGGCAACCTATGGCCTGCAGGTCAGAGCCAGCTCGTGAAGACATTGGATCTGGCCCGCAACAAGAATCCCCTGCAGTCAGTTAGGGTCTCTTAGTGAGTCGCATCCCAGTAGCCCCACTTCCCCCATCAGCCCCGCTCCCTTACCATGGAAGACATTAGGGGCATGCAAAGCAGGCAGTATTCAATTCAGATTCGGCCCAATTCAGGGGACAGCGATTTGATTTGCTGATTCGGATCACTGCCCCAATTCAATTTGGATGAATCTGAATCTAAAGATTCAATTCCGATTCAGAGAATCAGCAATTCAGCCACAGACACAGCTTTACATGTCTTTTCTATATACCTTGAGGTACCAGGCACAGCTCGTGAACGCTGAGATGGTGTGGCGGATGGAGTGTCCCATGGGAGCGCGGGGTGGGGGGGAGCATGCTGGGTGGCGGACATGGAAGTGGAGCAGAGGCTTCCAATTTGATTCAGAGAGATTAATGGGTCTCCTGATTCGATTCAGATTCAGAGATTCGGCTGCTGAATTGGGCCAAATCTCCTCCACATCAAATCAGCGACCAAAGCTTCGCACACCCCTAGGAGATACCACTGCTGTGGGGTGAGGTGCTGGCACAGTCTGCAGCCAGTGGGTTAATGCAGACCCTACCCCTGCTGAAGCTGCTGCCTTTCTTGCTGCTGTATTTACCATTGCCAATTGGCAATGAATATTGGCAGGAATCAATGACAGAGATGAGCAGCAATGACTGCAGTAGCGGAGCGCAGTCCTTGCACCCAGCTGCTGCTCCATTAACTGTTGCCTGCTGGATGTGCCAACACCCTCCCCCATCAGCAGAAGTCATATCTTTAATAGGGGTGGATAGGTGTGGGGCTGAGACTGAGGTGGGGATCAGGACTAAATCTGTCGGCAGCATGGCAGAGGTGATTAAGGGGATTGAGGGAAGTGCGGAAATCACCCAGGAAAGGGAATCAGCAACCCATGGTAGCAACTGACTTGCAAGCAGCAGCCTGCCATTACTAAAAAAGTTGCTGATCCCTGACCTACGATGATGTAACTGATATGGAGAAGAAGGTAGCAGAACTCAAAGAACTGCATACAGCAAAGGTTAGTGACCTGCAGACCGCAGGCAGAATCTGGCCTGCAAAGCCATTTGATCCTGTTGGTGGACTTGGGGCTTCAGTGGTGTTGAGCAATAGAAGAGTTCAGCAGCAGTTGCTCTCCCTGCGCTGCTACAGTGGCTGCAGCAGCCAGGTCATAGTACCCACCTTCCTGCCTGCCTCTAATGTGAGCTATGTCATTCTGGCCCACAACCTGAAAAAGTTGCTGGCTGTTGGCATATAGAGCATCACAGCATACAGGTAAAACTTCCTTTACAATCTGCCATCCCAAAAACCCTTACAAACAGAACAGAGCCGTCCCTTGGAGGGGGCGAATCGGGGTGACCACCCCAGGCCCCGTGCTTTGGGGGGCCCCTGCAGACAGTGCTATACTGGCCCCGTGGACAGTGCCACTGGCACGTGCTGAGGGAGCCACCACTCTGCACGGCCACCATGCACCACCAGCTTCACGCTCCGACCACTCCCTCCCTCCACCCCCGCACAGACTGATATGCCCCAGGCCACGCACACCACTCAGGGCAGCTCTGAAAGGGAAGCAACTTTTTCACATCATCTACAAAGGTTCAGAGTTACCTAGATGGATATGAGAATCCACTCACTGAAAACCTCATGAAAGACCAGCTAAAAATACATTTAAATGTATTCTATCAAGGGACTAAACTGATTTAGATTTAGCAGTCCGAGCACTCTTATTGTCCCTATCATGATAACATCAATGTCCTCCAGATGATTATGGATTTTGTTTTGCTTTCTATGGCAGGCTAGTAAGAAAAGAAAGGAGTATTAAAGAACTTTAAGGCTGAAGTACAAGAGCTTCTAGAGTTTGGGACTATCTGTTCAATAAATTATGCTCCACTACGATGTTTTTCTTTCCGATTACTTTATTTTGCTTAGGAGCTCTCAGATGGCTCTTATGAAATTTTTTCCAGAAATTCAACCCAGAAAATTGCCATGTATGCCATGTACTATGCCATGTACTATGAATAGTGGGTGACTGGTTCCTCCTGAGACTAAGGGGGCACAGATTGTGAGCGGCAGCATCAGCAGCAGTGGCAAGTGGTGACCGCCCACAGAAGCCGGCGGCGGCCAATCTCAGGCGGGGCATGTGCCCACCCTACCTCACCTATGCTATGAAAGCTATAATATCCATTCACTGCAGTTCTACTTTGAACTCTTTATAGATTTATATGCAGTTCTTAAGAGCTGTTAAAATATGGTTTACTTTCTCTATTCTTGTTAAGATACTGCTTAAATTTAAGATTCACTCTTGATAAAATGACTTATTTTAGCATTGAAAGTATGCTAGGTAAAAATCAAGCTACCTCTTAAAGAGGAAATTCATTGTGTATCTGTGCAGTACCAGATACACTGGCAACTAGATCCTGGTTTGGTTCTATTGTATCCAAATCAAAAAAATAAAAAAATAAAAATCAGTAAGTCTAAATAAATGTCAACATTTCTATGAAAAGAATATTTTCAAAGTGAAAAGTTAGTGCCATGGAAATGAAAATGTATATAGCATCTTCTCTCCCCCTACTTTTGGTTGGTGAATTAAAGGCCAAAAGTCTGGCTAATATACATAGGTAATAACAAAAAAACAAATGAACAAGCAATGTTTTACCTCTCCACACACAAGACGATTAAAAGCTGTTGGAACTGTCACCAGAATTGCAATAATCTGTCAGTTGAACCACTATCTATGCAATGGATTTCTACCAAAATAGCTTCATACCTTTTCCCAGATGCACAAAATATATACTGAGGATTTGAGACTTTCATTCCTACATAGGATGACCATTTGTCCTAGTTTAGCTGGGACACTCCCAGATTTCAGAGGCTGGTCCCCGCCAGCTGTTGGGAATTATAATAAGGGTCCTGGAAATGCAAGGACATGGGGTGCAGTCTGACTGGGACTCAGAGAGCCATGCAGGCAGGCAGGCACCACTGCCTGCCCAGCATGTAGCCCCACCCCCACCAACTTGTGAGGGCATGGGTGATGGAGGAGGCAGGCGGTGTCTTGGATTTCCTGGTTTTTGTCCTGGATTTCCAGAATTTCCATATAATCAGCCTATACACCTACACTAGTCAACAGATGTGGGAAAGAAGCAGTGGTTGCATAATTCCCACAGCAAGCCATGCTGCAACCAGTTCAAGGATTATTCAAGACATAGAATACGTCCCCTATAATTTTCCATTCAGAATTTCGGACATGCATGCAAGTCTCATCTTACTATAAAAGTATACAAAAGCACTTCAATTGGTAAGTTCATCCCTCCAGTGGCCTGAAAATCCCTCTATCAAGGGAATGTGAAGTTAAGAACACCAGACA